CGGGATCACCAATGTCGGGTTGATCCCAACTTACCGATTAAAGTAAATCGATCGACATAACGTAAAAACATGACACTTTTATTAACTAGCAGGTTAAATTCTAACTCGATCTTACAATGTTTTTTTTAACGAGCGGTATCACAGTTCGTGGAACGTAGCGCAAGGTCGACTGGTCGTCTCGGCAGCTAGTCCAGAAGTAGTTCATCGGCTAACGCTCCGGGCAAATTACCGCTCTACAGAAAATGTTGACTATTTAGTTCGCGATAGAAAGTAGTTCGCGACCGCAACAACTTCTCCAATACATACTACTCATACTACTGTTACACCATCAACAAATTTTGAAACATTTCAACATTTATAGAAGAAACCACATTAGCTGAAGATATTTCTGTAAATCATGATACATTATCTAAAGAACATACAAAAGATATATTTATATCACAAGAATTTTAAAAAATATAAACAACTATATAGAAGATCAAGTGGAAAAAAAATGTTAAACATGTAAACACTATCAGAAATTGAAACATAGAATTGGAATTTTGGAAAAGGAAGTAGAAAAGGCTAAAGAAGATAATGAATCATATCAACTCTTATCATTAATTCTTAATAATGACCAAATATCTGCCATAAAAAAAAAACCAAATTTATGAAATGGTCAAAGAAAACTATTCAAAAGCTTTGAAATTAAGATTTTCTAGCGGATACGAGGAGTTATTAAAACAAAAATATTCCATCACCTTCAATCAGGACTTTACAAAGACGATTACAAAATTTAAAATTTCAAGGTGGGATCCTAACACAAGTCGTTGAATTTTTAAAGATTAAAGCGAAATTATTCAAAAATGAGTGGGATAAAGATTGCGTCATTTCGTTAGATGAAATGACAATAATTCTTTGGAAAATGTTTGATAGCGGTACTAACATATATTGGCCATGTCGCTTTACCCGGACATTCTGGGACCGCGACTCACGTATTCGCGATTACGCTAGGGGGATTACTTTACGACGGAAACGAATCGTAGCTTACTATTTCACAAGTAACTCTGTAGACGGAAGTTTATACGAAAATATATTATTTGAAATAATTACTCGCGTCGGACAATTAGGTTTAAATGTTGTTAGCGTTACATCAGACACGGGGGATCGTCCGACAAAGCATTATGGAAAATATGGATTATCACAGCGGGTGGTGGCGGCGAAATAGTAAATTCCATAAAGCATTCTTTAAATTCGGATAAAAAGATTATCCGCTGGCAAATGTACCGTACAACATTTATTTAAAAATATAAAAATATCAGAAGAAACAAAAGAAAAATTCAATCTTCCAACCGATATATCATCGTCACGGCGTATAAACGAATCGCTAGAACAACAACGAAGGAGCTAGTTTGAAGTTTAAGTTAAATGCGACGGCAATAAGTCTTCCTCACTTTCAACAAATGAAAGTGAAACATCTACACGAGTCGTCAGTCGCGATATAAGCATATAAGCGGTGGATTAAGATTTTTTCAGAAGCGAATAAACCAGAATATTTAACAACCGCTCGGTTTGTCGCCGCTGTCGAAAAACGGTTTAGATTAGCAACATCGAGGCATCCACTTTTTGCTCTAAGTACGAATACATTACGGAAGTACGAGGATTCGATAACATTTACAAACAAATTTATTTTAAGAGAAATCTATTCGGAAACCTGGTCAAACCGAATCAATTTTAGATTGGCGACACGAATTTTTATTTAACAAACAATACCGTTTNCTCAGAGGATAACGATAACTTGCCAAAAATAAAACGCTTTCGGTTAATAGTGCTTTTAGTGATGACAAAGAAAACATTGTTTATATTAATATGTATCAATTAAGAAAACTTTAATAAAGATATTTATCTTAATTATGAAAATATAGTAGCATGTTTTTTGACTTTTGGAACCTAACCCTCCTTTCGGTACTAGTTCTTTGTTTCGCATAACACAGATTCGCATAACACGGCAATTTTTTAGATTGCGGTAATGCGGTTATAATAAAATATTGTGCGATTATTTTTATATAATTAAAATTAATATGTATTTATTTTTTTAGAAAATACATGGGAAGCGGCGCATCCACCGCTTCCAATGACGGCACGCCACTGGGTTTTATAAAAAAAATTGTAAATGCTAATAACGAGTAAAATCGTCATTAAGTCCGACCCCACTGGAGCTACACTCGATCCCCTTTATATCATCACCCCCTCGACCTTTAATCACCAAAATTTAATTAAATCAATCTCTCCAATAAACTTTAGATATTACCATAAGATTCAAACAAGGATATGTACAAACGGCAGTGTATCTAAAACCCACACATGCTCCACTATATATCCCGGCATGGTCTAATGATCCGATTAAATACAAAATGTCTTCGTTTAGGTCGCTTATTAAAAGAGCATTCTTATATTGCACCAACGTACAAGATAGAATTAGCGAGATTAACAGAATCAAGAATATTGCAAAAAGTTTAGGATACAAAACATCTACAATTAATGGTTTGGTCAAAGGTTACAAGCAAGGGACAAACAAACGGAATAAGCCAAAAGATAGGTTTAATAAATTTACATACAACAGGAATGTAGAAGGAATAATGGAAGAGTTGTGTAAATATAAGAGCACAAGATCTATTTATAAAAGAGCGCCGAACATCTACAAGTTACTAAGGAATGATAAGGACAAGATAGGAATGAAGGAAAAAGCTGGGGTTTATAGAATTCCTTTTGAAAATCAACAATTAGGAGTAGAAAAAGANTTCATAATAGCAATTGTAAATTGGCATATAACTTTCAAGTTGTCCTTTAAACACAGGTAATATGCACAAAAATATGGTAAATATTTTCTCTGAGCGTATGATAACCTTACGTTTTGAGAAGTTAATAAAATGTTTATGTATAACACACTAGCACAATAAATAACAGCTGGAATAAGAAAGATGATGACAGTCAACATGTCCAATTCCATCATAGGCATCAAAATGCTAAATAATCTTATAAGATTTTGTATAAACATTAGAAGATTTTTTCATCAGTTCATTCATTTTGAGATCAGAAGTCATGTAAATTGGTTTTCAAGAATACAATTTAGAATTGATTGCAATATATATGTCATGGACCAAGTGATTAATGTTGTTAATGTCCAGTCATTATGAATAACAACATTACTAATATAAAACCCCTCGTATGTGTGTGCTGTGAATTCCTTAAAACTTTCTTTGTCATTATTTATAATACCCAATTAATCACTTGGTTCATAACAGGTGAATATATATATATATATATATATATTCTCGGTGCTTCAAGTTCCCGAGTTCAAAAATGTAAAAATCTTGGGTCATATTTTGACCGATCATAATACTTTTCCTCATATATAACAGCCGGAAAAATTATAAATCTAAATGACAGAACAGTGAATAAAAGACATGTAGTCACATCTCTGATCAGTATAAAATATTCAGTATCAATTTTTAAAAATATACTTACCAACAAGAAAAAAACTAATATATCAACATACTAATATAATAAAATATCGGTAATAAGAATGAAAAGACCGGTTAATTTAAAATTTCAATATAGGATTCAGTGCTTTTTTGTTTCAATTAACAATTACAGTGTTATTATGCTTTCTGTATGAAAATATTTTTTAATCAAAAGACTTACAATTTATCTTTAATGCTTTTATATTTCGTTCTACTTAAAGGTCAGTTAATAATTAAGTTCCTCTATGACCGGAAATTGCATTTTAAAGGAAGAGTTTCTATTTATTACAACATATTACATATATAATAAATCTGAGAAAGTTGATACTAATTTAAAAAAAATTGGAAATTTTTTCTATACTTAAATATCGTCTTAGCATCAATTATTCTAAGAAAATTTTTGTAGTAAATGTTTGGAATTATCATTTAACAATTGTATTTTGTTAAATACTGTAATTCTAAACGTTTTTACTACAAAAAAATAATAATTGTAATGCTAATTTTGAATATTTCTCTAACCTTAGCAAAATAATGTAACATATGTTTATAATTAAAATGAAAATTAACGTTTATTATTATATAAACTTTTATAGTATAAAAATTTATATACATTAATTTTATTTAAATCATAGCATTCTATAAAACTGCTAAGGTTTTTAAGCATTTTACTTATCTGTAAAAATTATTATATATAAACAAAATCTTATTCGTTTATAAATTTTGCTTGTTTATATTTAAAATATAACATTCCTAAATGAGAAATGTTTAAGGTTCAAAGTATATAGAATACCTTACTACCAACATATACATTTCATTTATTAGTAACATTTTTGGTCTAAACTAGTGATACTTAAAAGTGATGGTCTGTCAACCATCAGCTACTAGTCCAAAGAGAATTTATATGAAAGAAAAACATAGTATGAAATAATATTGTTTTCATACAAATATTGATAATGACATTGTACTGTTACAGTATGTATCTAAATACAAAGACAGTTGAAACTGCTTGCACTCAAATACAATAATACAGTAATAAAGCAAAAATATAATATTGGTTAGTATTGGTAGTTGGCAAATTGAAAAATACATTCTCAGACCATCACATCAATTAGCTTGAACACTGGACCATCTTCAGGTCCAGAAAAAGATTAAAATACATCAAAAGTATTAGTTACTAATAAATTTATATGTTGTAACAAGGTATAATTTCTTTAAATATCCCTAGTTTTAATTACTATTTGAAAAAAAAAAAATTGCATAATAGCACAACTACAACTTATATATATTTTAACTTTCCAATAGAAAAGTATGTTAAATTTATTTTAAAAGCTATAAAATTCTATATACAATATGATTTTTTATTGTTGACTTTGACACAACCAAATATTTATAGAATAAATTATGAAAAAAAAAAAAAAGGAAAAAGGAAAAAAATTAGAATAAAAACAAAATGGAAATTATATTTTNTTATATATTTAATAAACTCCAAATTTATGATACATACAATATGATCATAAATTTATTGAACAAGTATGCAAGGTTCTGATGAGTTTTGTGATCAGGCACATATACTTGCATCTGAATTCTAAATTTTGCACTGATGATATACATATTGCATTGTCAATGGATTTTCGTCACATCAAAGGATTTTTTAAATGCATTGTATAATTATGTTACAATTAAAAAATTATAACGTAGCATCAATGCTTAATTTAGAATGTTTGCTATAATTCCAATCTGGTAAATCACATTCCGATAGTAATGTTACGAATATATGCCAGATCAATGTCCCCTACATCTCTTGAAATATGACAAAATTCTATTTACATAGCAAAATAGGGTTTTTTTGTTTTTTTCTTCAACATTCAACACAGCACTCAGAATATAACATTTTGTTATATATGATTATTGAATAGTCAAAACTATAAAATAAATTGTACAATTTGACAATTTCTAATTTGAGGCATTTTCAGACAGTATACAGTTGATATGACAAAAATTATCATTTATGTGATCAAGTCTTCAGATCAACGATTACTAACATCAATTATACTTTAATGTACCCTGATTAAAATTTCATTATTGAGATTTCATCACTGATAGCTTGCAACTTTTTTTTTTTTGAAAAATAAATTAAGATCTAAAAAAACAGTTCAAAATATACTAAACAACAGATTGATCCTTTAAAATTATGAATAAATACTGAAAAAACAATAAATTTCAGTACAGTATCATTACAATCATTCATTCTTGCAATTATAATTTACTGCATTCTTTTGGCAACATCATATACAGTATTAAAAGTCAATATTATAAACAATACTTTTTAAGTACATGAAAAAAAAAATAATAATAAATCATTATTTATTATTTAGTCCATAACAGGAAGACTTAAATCAGACCTCTCATCTTTTTATATTCTTCAAGATTAAGTGACCTCTTAGGAGCAACTCTTCCTGCAGGAGATGGCCTTGATGAACTTGATGAACTTGCTGGTAATGGTAATGCCAAGTCAATTTTTATATCAAAATTATGAGCTGTAAATAAATCATCTCCAGAACGTTGTTGTTGAACGTTATTTGTAGCTTTAACTTTTTGTTTCATTTCTTCATTTTTTCTTCTTTCCTCCTCCTCTTCTTCTTGTTTTTTTATACGTTCTTCTTGTAACCTTTGTTGGTGAAGTTTCTGAAGTATTTCAGCATTAATTTGTGCTTCACGAGATTTTGTAACTAATGTAGGAGCACACCTTCTTCTTGTAAATGGATCATCTACTGCTTTTGCTTTATTTTCTTTTGCTTCTTGTAAAATAGCTTTTTCTGAATCCAAAATATTTTTTAATCTGTTTCTTTCATTTATATAACTAATTGCACTAATACTACTAGTGCGAAGTTTGTCTAACTCTTTAGCCCTTTCTTCAAGTTGTTCCAGTTCTGAATTTAATCTCTGCACTTCATCATCATTGCCAAGCAACACAGCCATATCTTTTTGTTTCATCAGCTGAGTCTTCTTTACAGCATAATTATGTGGGTTTTTTTTGAATCGTCCCTTCTCTTTCACAATTGTTTCAACATCATCTTCCTTATATTCATAATTAATAGCATCTTGTATATCTTTAACTTTTTTTGATACTTCTTCAGATGTCGGCAAAGGTAATCGTTCCATAACCATTGTCTCTTTCCATTTAAAAAATTCTTTATCCGTAAAATCCTGATTTGAAACAAATTCTAAACGAAATACACGTTCCTGATTACCATGTTTCAATCTTAATCCTTTATTAGTTCTTGTCATACCTAACTGATAAATTTTGGCAGTTTCCACAACTCCAACTATTTCAGCAATTCGATACACAGGTTTATTATTATGTGTGCCTATTCCAATTCTAACAAAACATCCAATTACTGCTCTTTCAAAAAATGGTGCATGAACCCACCTTTCTAACTTGTGTCTTGATAATCTAATTTTGCTCAATTCCTGCCTTGAAGAAATATATTGTGGTTTTTTTGGCATCTCGTCTTCACTTCGAGATCTATAAGACTCCTCACTTCTATCATCCACATCCGAATTGCTACTATCGTCATCGTCATCATCAGAATAAATATCACTCGCTTTTAACTTTTTAACCGGCTGTTCAGATTCTTCTTCGACTTCCTCATTCGTTTCTGAATCTTTATGTAACTGTAGTTCTAACTGCTTTTTCTTTTTCTCTCGTTCGGCTCTTAAATCTTTAATTGCCTGAGCTTTCTTATCCAACTTGTAATTCTTCTCTTCGACCGTACGTCTTCGCTCTTTACTACGCAAACTAGCCTCGCTGTTTAACTTAACTTCGCTATTATTCATTTTCTTGTTTTCGTTTCTTTTGGCTAACCTTAATTTCTTTTCTATTTCGAATCTTGTTTTCAGCACTTCCCTTTTCTCAATTCGATTAAATAACTCTTGTTCTCTTTCTTTTTCTGTCATCTGTGCAAGTCGAGCTTGATCTTCCTCATCACCCATGAGATTCTCATCATATCCATCATTAAATTCTTCATCTCCCGAACTCTCTCCACCACTGTCTGACACTTCACCTTCTTCAGGTTCAGAATCAAACGAAGGCTTTTCATTATCATCATCGTCGTCGTCGTCCTCGTCTTCATCATCATCACTGGGCGAATCATCTTTTGTAGAAGTTGCGGTTTTTGTTTTATCGGCATCGGTACTCCATTCACCTCCACTGTCGGACGAATCGGAATCAGAATTAGAACTTTCTTCATTTTTACTTTCTGGACATTTTCTTTTAGCTAAAGATAGTAATTCTTCATCCAAATCGTCCGGACTGTTACTGTCTTCACTACTAGAATCGATCACCGCTCGATTACGTTTAACCATCGTGATTAATATATTAACTACGTCACACAAAGAATAAAGTCACTTAAATAAAACAAGTATAAACTACCATAATCCAGCAAAAATTATCTCCAAAACATAACGTCTCCGAAAAATGGCGACTTGCTCAATAAGAAAATTCGTCCGTCCTCTAATCGACAATAACCTGGTTGCACACGTAGTTACTATACAGCTCTGTAATTGGATTTTAGTTTAAAATTTTTCGTTTATTAACCAATCCGATTCGTTTTTATTCCTCCATTATACCATCAATTGTAAAATATATTTAACAGATTACAGAACATTTAGATAATAACAGCCCATAATGTACCAAAATATTCTGTTTTTATCATATAAAATTGGAAAATTTTATATTATGTTTAAAATATTTTTGTTTATTTTTAACTACAAGAAGTTATACAATAAATCTTATTTTATTAACAAAATTTATATTTTGAATTCTTTAATATATACGAGGATCAAGTCTTTTTTTTTAACTCTTTCCGCCTTGTGGGCACTAAGAGGGCCTCTTTTTGCATGCCCATTATGGGTTCGGCCAGGCCCACAATGGGGCTGCCGGGTGGTGATGATTTAGTTGAAACTTTCCGTCCGTTCGGATATGCCGGGACGGGGCCCGACATATCCGAACGGACCACCCCCAAAAAATTCCTGGGGATTTTTCGACCCCGGGTCCCCCAGAGCGATAGGCTGCCACCTTAGCCGCTCGGCCATCCGGCCGCTTAATCTAGTGACTAAGATACTGTTGTTCATTGTACAGCTTATGTAGCACCGATCAGGTTGAAACATGTATACGCTGTAAATGTATTACATAAGTGGTAGGATCTTTGTCTTGGGTTCAATAGTGCATGTTCAGTGACGGCCGTAGAATGTTGGTTCCGATCGAAACACGCTCCAACTTGGAAATGCAAGCAGTCATTCGATTTGTACATGCAAAGATTGGAAAACCCACCGAAATTAATCAAAAATTAGTGGAGATTTATGGTTGACGAAAGGAGTCAGATTGATGTACGACAATGCAAGACCGCACATCACGACTAGACGACATTCTTGCTTCAGAAACGCAAATGGAAGATTCTTGTTCATTCACCCCACAGTCCCGCCTGGTTCCTTCCGATTTCCATTTGTTTGGCTTAATGATTTGAGCAAGTCCATAACTGCATCTTTAAGTTCGTCATCATATGAAAAGTGTAAGCCTCCAAGATATTTATCAATAAATCCAAAAAGATAAAATCAGAGGTTGCTAAGTCTGGACTATGCACATGATGATAGGTCCGTTGCATAATAATGCAACTCTCCATACTGTATGTCAGACTTCAGACAGGCTAAAAAAATACGGATGGGAAGTAACGAACCATCCTGCGCACCGTCCAGACTTATCACTCTGATTTTTTAAAAATCTTTTTGGACGTCTTGAGAAACAACTTGGAGGTTTACTCTTTTCATATGATGATGAGGTATAAGATGCAATCATGGACTCGTTCAAGTCAGTAAGTGGAGAATTTTTTGAGAAAGGAATTTTTACCGTTGTCTCCCGCAGAGAAAAGTGTTTAGAAAAGAATGGCGACTATGTAGAAATAAAAATTATTTTAAAAACTTTTTATTCGCAAAAAGAATTTCTTTATAGTTTTTTCTATTTTTTAATTTTTTATACGTTGCACTAAATTATTGAAATTCTTCTTGGTTTAGCATTTAATATAATTAACGTATATTATCTGTGAGGTTTCACTAATTTTTTGCTAAATTTGTTTGCAAACTAAATAAATAAATAAATAAATAAAATGAATTGTCATCGGAAAAACATATTTATGTAAAGTTTCAACTAAATCGGAAATTCGAAAGTGAAGTTACAAGATTTTATCTAGACAGAGTGAAAAACATAATAAATTAATGAACAGCGTATAATACGGGTATAGCTTAGACTGTGTACAATACTTTCAATTGGCTAATTTTAATTTTTTATTAATTATTTGAATAAAAAACATTTTAATAACACACAAATAAAATTGAATCGAAATATATTATTACAAATATTATGTAANTGAATTTTTCCTGGAAAAAATAAGACATTCCCTGAAAATAAGACCTAGCGCATTTTTCAGAGCAAAAATTAATATAAGACACTGTCATATTTTCGGGGAAACACGGTAGCTTACATACATCCGACTTGGATTTTACACAAATTGCGAAATTATACCCCGACTTACGCGGTTACCGCTCGGTCCCACCTATCGCGTAAGTTCGGGTTATTACTGTATTTAACTTTTCAAATCTGTCCGACTGGAACGACTAATCGGTCGGCAGACGGCTGTTGCCATGGCAACACGACTTGGAGTCGGGCCAGTCGGTCATAGTGTGAAATAGCCCTTACCATCCGACTCCGACTCCGACTCCGGCTAAAACACCAAAACTCCACGACTCCGACTCCACAGCCCTGGTTATAAATCTACTCGTGATTCACGTAATCTGGCGAGGGCGGCCAAATATCTAGCTGGCAGGCGGCTAACAGCCCGAAACCGGTCCTGGATAGAATTGGATGCGGTATACGTGTAGCATCCATCCAAGGTCCTAGTCTTCCACCAGCTAAACCGGGTCAGGTTGGTGCTCTCTAAAGCGCATGCGCGAATCTGGCTTTTTGGATGCTGACGATACAGCGCTTCCACTCCGCCACCAATATTCGAATACAGGTAACCCCGTATAACACGGCACTTCTATAGCACGGATTCGCTCTAACACGGTTCGAGAATTGGTACCATCCCCCGTATAACACGGTACTTTTATAGCNGAACCGTTTTAAATTCGAATTTGTTATTGCATATTGATTCGATTATAGAACGATTGTAAACGTTCCATAAAATTGATCAAATTGAAAATAGTTCGTTTGATTCTCGGCAATTCTCATCATTCTCAGCGGTAGGTGTTATATAACAATTACTATGGTTGTTTAAATACTGTACTGAATATAAATAAGGTTTGCTTGCAAAATCCTTGCGGGCAAAGCCGTGAGTAACAGCTAGTTTAATATAAAAATACGAAAAACGTCACTAAATGAAAATATAATTTTGTCTATGAAATATGATTCGACTTTGCGCATTAAATGAATCTATGAAAATCATTTGACATATGTTCTAATTATAACATGTGCATCCTTATTTCCGGTGCTCTTCATTTACTTTACCTTCGTTGACCAACGAGGATACCGTATTCCGTTTTATACTGCCCTTTGAGCTAGTGTAGAGAAGTGTACAATAATATTACACTGACGAAACGAACAGTTAACACTCGCCATTTACACTTTTTTGCAAAGACTTCAGCAAATACTTGCATTTCGACATATTATTAAAACACCGAATTGTATTTACATACTATGAAATGAGATAATTTATTTAAGCTGTAACTTATTACTGCACAATAAAATTATAAATGTACAAAACAAAAATGCATTGCCTTAATTTCTATAATTCAATAATTTTACATATGCCTACATAAATTTTAATAGAAAATTGTATTGTGTATAACAAATCACTCAAATGAATTCGATTTGCTTAGATGAATATCACTTCATGCAGTTAATAACATTTTCCACAATAACAAAAATTTTAAAAACAACTTTTATATTTAAGTAGATTTCCACTTTTATAAATAGTTTGAAATTTAACAATCTGTCACTTGCACATTTATACAAAAAGTTTACATAGGTTAAGATTCTTTTCTTTGTGTTTAGCAATAATAGACATTCAGATATTGCATCATTTCCTTTTTTGATCTTGCCTCTCCTTTTGTATTAGGTTGATTTTTCTCCCTAAATAAGATTGTATTCATCTATCTTCTATGCTTATTTCAATAATGGAATAACCTGGATAGCAGATTTTGAATCGTCAATGTTTAGATAATGCCTTGACTTTGTCCTCCTCTCCTTTACTGAACAATTGCATTTGAGAGGGGAGAATGAGTCTTACTAATGCATTACTTAAATGTCCTATACTATTTTAATATATACCATGTATTTATGTTATTCTCCCTACTTGATGGAGAGGATAACAAGCTACAAGTACATTATGTTGTGTGAGGAACAAGGATGACAAGCTACACACATTAAAATGATCTCTAATGAATTAGTTGCAATAGATCCAATAGTTACTGACATGAGGAAATTAGGCATCTGCATACAATTTGTATATCAGTTAAATGCAACACACATATTGTACATTTATAGCCACAAATCATGTATTGATAAAAAGTTATAAAATTATCAACTTATATGTAACATATATATTTAAAATTTTCTAATTGAATCTCATTTGGCTAAAAATCAGAAGTGTCTAAATAGTTATTTTATAAGCAAATATCCTTAAGTTTCATTACCATATAAAATGTATAAATTGGGCAAATCCTGACCAAAATTTTTGGCATGCTGAAAGTACTGTACATGATAAGAATAACAGGCCTATCTCTAGCACTAAACAATAGGCAGAAACATTATTTTGTGTGAGTAAAAAAGTATGGACTATTATAAAGCCCATTATATCTACACATGAAATATATTATAATGAAAAATTATTAAAAATTTATAACAATCAAATTTTGTGGATCCTTGACACTGGGGGCCCAGGGCTTAAGCCCTACTAATTTCTATGTAGATCCACCCCTGTACACAATACATGCATGCTGACTGGGTATGCAAGCTTTCAATACAATCTGGCTGTGTTAAATGCTTCAATGACATCATGCATGCACACTTGTTTGTTGCAGAAAACCTCCACACAAGCAAGCAATCGAGTTCATGCAAGCATCGCACTGACTTAAAATGGCTAATCACTAGCTGTCAATGTAAAGGAAACACAAATGATAAAAAATTATTATTGGCATATTTGTTCTCTCATATAAAAAGTATCAATATATTGACAGTCAGAACTTTCACTTATGCATGTTGCACATGCTAAGCAAGCCCAGAGAATTTACCCCTGGTATAAATGTAAAAAATAATAATTGATAATTTAGTTAATTATCCAAAACTTTCACATTTTCTGTATTGTGTGTTTCTGTAACTAACTAACTTTTATATTCTACTCAATTTTTAAATACATTCAATTTCTTGAATTTGTACAGAAAATTTTATTTTAATAATAAATTCTCAGGATTGTGAATTAGAAGTTTTAGTGAGTGAGTTGATAAAGTGATTGAGTTCCTCAACATATTTAATTGTTGAGCTACAATTTTCAATTGCATATCTATAAATTCCCACTGGCATCTGTCTGTAGGTTTATACCTATACCTACAGACAGATGGACACTAATGAAAAAAAATTTATGAATAGCACTTGCGTATTCTTTACATTTCTATAATTGTAACCCCCACATTAAGTCAATGTTTCACTGTGACAGTTTAATATTCTTATCAGCAGCAGTGTATCTTTATTTAAAGAGAAAACTTAAGATGTAAGATGTAATTAATGTAAAAGAAAAACTTACACTTTCCTTCTTGTGAGTCTAATAGCTCTTGTTAAACACATCCATCTCACCTTATTAATAATGGGTTTGTTACCAGTGGGTAGGTGCACACAGAAAATTGTCATGGGACATGCTTTTACACTTCATTAAAAAATCTAGTCTCACTCTTGTTTTTGTAAGAGCTACTACCACTTTACGGTAAATATTAGCTGGCATAGCTATAACTTAATTAACTTAATTGTTTTAAGTTTTTCTTAATTAATTAAGAAAAACTTAAAACAATTTTTGAAAAATTGAAAGAACTGCATGCCTTTAAGTACAAATACCCCAAGCATATGCATTAGCCCAATATTTCTAAAGTTCACCTTCCAGTAGACCCCTTTAATAAATCTTTTGGCAGGTTTCCTAGAGTAGAATTTATTATTATTTTATATATATATATTATTAATAAGTGTTTCTTAAAATAATGTTTTTGTTTTAAACAATTTCATTTAATTTAAATTATTTTTGTTTTTTTTTAAATTTAAACTTTAATATGTGTTTTACTAAGGTAAATATTACAAGAAATATTTTTTTAATTTGCACAATACGATATGCTTCTTTTTCTTCTATAAACCAGGGCTGTGGAGTCGGAGTCGTGGAGTTTTGGTGTTGGAGTCGGAGTCGGATGGTAAGGAAAAGTCGAAGTCGGAGTCGGATGATAAGGAAAAGTCGGAGTCGGTAGATTTTTACACAACTCCACAGCCCTGCTATAAACTCAAGGATTCCTGTCACCACATTTGCAAACCTGCAGGGATCCATGGACTACACATTGTTGAGAAATCTGCTATCCAAATTATCTTAAATACCTGCACATAAAAATTTCTATACACTATACAAAAATTTTCAGTTTTCAGATCAAATAAGAAAAGCAGTTAAACATCTTAGGATGAATAGATTAATGGGAGGGCAATGTAACACTTGGACAATCTGCCAAGTCTCCATGGAGGACAATCTCTCTTTCAGGAAACTGACCCTATTTAGATGTAAAGAAAACCCGTGAAACTCCATGTGATCAGCCCATTGTTGATATGCAAATCTGTGATCAACCATTAGTGTTTTATCCTCTCAGCCATTAGTGAGGTTGAGGCCGAAGTTTTAAATGCGAAAACGTGTACATTAGACATTCAGCACCGCTTTCCTGTAAGCCTAGAAGTTTGACAACAGCATTTGGAATGTCAAGCATGATTCCACTGACTTTCCAAACACCATTGTCAAACTTCTAGGCTTACAGGAAAGCGTCACTCAATGAATGACACACATTTTCACGTTTAAAACTTCGGCTTCAACCTCGCTATTGAGCTAAGCATATAAAGGAAGCCAGTATTGAGGGCCGAAACCCAACTCGTGTCGTTTTAAAATTTCAAGTAATTACAAAAATATATAATTTTTAATGAAATTATTTAAATTGTAAATGTATGTAATTTTTCCTATTAACTTTTAAAAGTAATTTAACTTAAATAGTATAAAGAGGTGCTTTAGAAGTTAGATAAAATAGCCATGATGCAAAAATAATTTTGATATGAAAATTTTCTTGCTAAATCTGAAATTTTCCTTTTTAAAGTATTTTTTGGTGTTCATTCCTTGAAGTTTGTCCTTAACTAAAATTTTTAAGCCTTATAAAAATTCATTGTCATTGCTATAAATAAATTTTGCAGTTTCAGATGTCAAAGTCTGTTAATTACTGCCTGTGCTAAAAATAATAATTCATGCCATTGACTTCAATTTTCTTTTGTTAATCAATGTATTATATCAATTTTATAATTGTATACTATACTATAATAACAACATATGCTTAAATTAAAATGCTCTTTTAATCTAAAATATTTTTATGTTAACTTATCAGTTTAGTATTGCATGGTAAAATGTATGGTAGGTCTATTTAATTATTTGTATGATTTAATTAAAATTTTTCAAACTTTGTAGTAGTAATTATTAATTGATTCTTAAATTAGTTTTATTTTGTGCACTTAATTTTGTGTATGTTTGGGAGAGATTCTGAAACTTGAAAATATTCTGCATCCCTGCTCATAAATTGCATTGCATCCTACTGCTTCTTGCAGGCCTGAAGATGGGCTATACTTGGACAGCCATATTTTAACAAACGAAATCAACAAAAGAACCAATGAGACATTCAGCTTTCCATGACTTTTTGAGAACACTAATGAAAATTTTTCAGTTTCCAGATGAATGAACCCTGTATACATATAATATTTTCTTCATTTTACTTTGATAATTTCTAGTTATTCCAGTGTAATAAGTAAAAAACTTTAAAAGAAATTGTTTAATGTACTTTTGAAATTCCTTCTACTAGTGTTTATTCATGCTTATCACAAATTCATCAAATCTGCAATGGGATAGTCAGATGGCAAAGAATGGGACTTGACATATCTGGTTCACATTATCGACAAAAATTTGAAAATCCAATCAGGACTTAAACTCTCATCCTTCAGAGCAGCAGGCTAATGCCTCACTAATTTAAAAGCTGTCAGCAAATCACTTATGCAAAATAAACTTTATGATTTTATATTCAATCATTTAATAATTAACAATAATAATAATACAATCATTTGACAAAATCTATTAATTCTTTCTGCTTAAAAGTTTGAATATTTTATCAATTGCAAGTGACAACTGTTACAATGAATTCAAATTAGTCATAGGAAAAAATTTGCAATGAAGATATTTATGGACTTTTATACAATTTTTTAAAATCCAGGACTATAATGTATTTAATCTATGGAATAGAAAAAACGATTTTGTTACAAAATGCCTGTACAAGATTATTTTTATAAAAAGGTGTGTATCATAACAAATATATTCAGCATGAAAAGTTTAACATTTTCAATGTCATTTATTTAAACAAAAATCCATTTAGCAAGCAAGCATCTATATAGTGTCTTGGAGAACATTCATCATGTTAAACAGTTTATCATCATCATTATTCTATAATTGAATATACTGTTTCAATAAATAAAAATAACCACAAAGATTTGAGCTTTAAAAAATTAAATTACAAATTAACAATTAAAACAAAATTGGTTCCAGGATAATCTTCTGACATGACTAGTAATCAAATAGTTCCACATTACAATATGAATAATTTACATAGTTCATGACTTTCTCAATCCAATTGTTAAAGGAATGTCTTGACTTCACAAATGTATCTGTTATAATATCTAAATCTATATATATTTACATGTTAAGTTTTTCATTCTTCTCCCATGCTGATTTTGGAACTCTGAAAGATATTTTAAATTTAAAATTAATGTAATTTTGAATGAAATATTGACCAATATTTAAAAAATAAAACATATATCATTATCTATTAAGAATGGTATATTCAAACTTTTATTACAGATTTCATCAATAATGCTAAATATAATCTTGACTTGAGGCAAAAATAAAAGCTTTTTGAATCAAAACTATTTTGCATTAACACAACTGAACAATCAAATAAATTTATTATTTTATATAGCAATACCCACCACGCGTTGCTGTGGCTCAAAATGTATCCATTATAAATGTTTAATACTTCCCCCGTGGGGGATTTCGAAAAATCCTTTCTTAGTGTACATTCGCTTGACGTATCCTATTAAAACGCAATCAAAAACACAAAAAACCACATCTAAAATAGTATAATAGAAACTGAATTCTTCACGATAAGCCTTAATTTTGTCTCTTTTCCCCGTGCATAGGGGGAATTTCGACTTCTATATTATATAAAAACACACGTGTATTCAAATACAATGTTGTGTCAAAATTTCAAAGTAATTGGTAAAGAACTTTCAGAGATTAGAGATTTTTAAAACTGAAAAACTCAAAGAAAAGACACAGAAGTGTGTCAATCTTGTAAAACATTATATATATATATATACACACACACACACAATATGGTATAGAACACATTAAACATGGATCAATAATGAAATATTACATATGTATTACTTGTTTTATGACTAAATTAGATTACCAATATTGTAGAAGATCAGTCTGTATTATCAGTTAATAAAATTTATTTATTATTAAAAATTTTCTTCCTAAAGAATGGTACTAATAAAATTTACTTATTTTGTATTTAAGTAACAATAATACAAGAACTTTCACATTTTAAGTATAATATACATACTGGAAAAAATTTTCTTAAGATTTTGGTTTGCAATACTAACACTAAACATTGACATCATTATAAACATATAAAAAGTACAAGTTAAATGAATCTAGTTGTATAGGGTAAGAACAACAACTACAGTAATAATGTTAATATTAATCTGAATACAATGATATAGTTGTGCTCAAATTTTAGTTGGAATACATAAATTTGTGTATTTAGTTAAGTGACTGACTTGTCAGCAGTTTCAGTATCTAATTTAGAAAATCAAACAAAAGTTTGCATATTCATATGGAAATGAAATAAAAAATTTTCAATAATGATCAATTTATTTGTAAAATAAACAACCATTCAATGTTTTGGAATCTTATGAATAGGTTTAACAATAATGTCAAGTACTACAGGCCCAGATGTAGTGGATGAAAAACAAACATAATAAGTGAATGATGTGCATTAACAGTTATATGTTTTCTCAAAAAATACCAAGAAGTTGTAAAAAACTATTCTTTCACTTTTTTATTGAATGAGACAATTTGATTAAAAAGTTCTCCTGAATAATAAAAAAGTAATTCTTAGTAGAACAATCTGTAATAAAACAATCTAAAGTAAAACATTTTAAGAAACAATAATTATATTCGAAATAAACTTTATAAGTAGATAGGAAATAATAAAAATTTTTTAAATTCTTCCATATTATGTTTTATATCAGAAGTGGTAAAGTAAATTACCAGTATTCAAGCAAAGGGACACTAATTAAATAGTAACAACACTGCTTAGTCAGTTGCTCATCATTATTTACATAAAGCATTCTTAATAATTAAACTGTTTTATTAATTTACTACTTCCAAAGTAGAAATAACTGAATGTGTGTTGTGTTTTTAGTGAAAAATTGCTCTATAGATAGCAACATCACAAATTCATTTTCTAAAATAAATTTTTATGAACATTTGAAAGAAATTTGTGGACTTTCACAAATTTTTCTATAAAGTGCAATGAAACAGGTTTGTAGGAAAGTATATAAATAAAAAAAAAATTTTCTAAAGAAAAGCTCAGAGAAAATAAGACAAAATTCAATGTTACTGCAAATCCAAACAGAAATGTGTTTACAAAGGCAGTTCAAGGCCACAAACAAAATTTCCCTTTTATCTGCAAGATATCATAACAAAGTAAACAAATATGCTTCCTTTCATTCATATACATTATCAGAATTCTATGGAATGCAACTGACATTTTATTAATATAACTTATTGAATCAATTATTATAGTGTTTCAAAATTGTCTTTACATCTTCACAGAATAAAAATTTATTCAAAGATGTGCACTATATTTTTAAATGCACAAATTTATCCATACATATTAAGATTCATTTATATAACTTTTGCACTGAAAATTCCTACCATAGTAAGATCAGCTAGTATTAAGATGGCTGCTTTCATTGTGTTGCTTCACTATTACTAGCTTTGTGTACCTGGACATGCTCCAACAACTCCTCATTCTTCAACTTGACAAAGATGATCAGGAAGGACACATTCACTTCCAGCATCCTTGTTACCTTAGAGAAATACAAGTATTCCAACAGCCAATTCCTAGCACAGTGGATTGGTTGGAGTGCACTGTTAGCATAGCACCTCATTTCCTGGATCTAACAAATTTTTATTTTTTCTTGTAGGAATTTGTTAAAGATCAACTGTAAGTGTCACTCTTACCAAATGTGGCTGAACTCTAAACTCAAATTACCACTGCAGTTGCTCAAGTGACACTGGATGTATGTGGGAAGAAACTGACTACAGATGGGACATCTGCTGCATAACAAATGGTAGTAACATTGAACCATAAAAACTAATGGTTATAAAACTTAAAATATTTGACTATATTTCAATGTTCTAAGATTGTGTGTTTCTTCACCAGTTCACCAATATCTCAACTGAAGTTATAAAGCTATTTTTGAAATGCTTTGTATTTATAAGTGATATCTGTATAATAAAAGCCATAAAATTAAACTATAAGCATGATTTAAATTGTTTAATTAGAATGCTTAATCAATATTTATGCAATTGTAAATAATATAATATACAGGAAAACCATCAATACATCTAATAAAGTACAATTTAAAAACAATCTATAAATAATATTTATTTCATGTTAATATACAATATAGAAATCATTATTTGTATGTGTCTGAACATCTAATAATATTCAAGTCTAGTTCTTATGAATTAAACAAGAGTATTATTAGAGGTTCAAATAAAAAATTTACTCAAAAATATAAAATGTTTTAAAATGCAATATTTTGTATTTTTATTTTATTATTACTTACTTTTTAAACTGAACTAGAAAAAACAATTATAAAAATTTAAAAAGCACTTCTAGTTTATTCAATCTGTTAAATTTGATGATCATTTTTATGAATATTTCTAATGAAGATTTCATATTAATAATTAATCATGTGAATTTGCTTATTATATATTGTATATCAAGCATTGTTAATAAATGCTATCAAATGAATGTGTTGTAAAGTAATAAATATTTTACATCATCATCATTTGTGTTGTAAGCCGAAAAAAATCCTTTTACAAGAATTAATGACTTTATTTATTTGTGTTGTATATTTATAAATAAAATTTTTATCATAAAACATCATCATAAATTCTAAACGTTAGAAAATTTTTACTTACCATAATTATAGCCACAATGAGTCCAAATAAACCAATAGCACTGGCAAAAATCTCTACTATTAATATCTTCACAAAAAGAACAGGATTTGCTGCATCAGCTAATGCAGCTCCTGATCCTACTATACCTACAGAAAGACCACAAAAGAGATTGCCCAATCCAACTGTCAATCCAGCTCCAAACATGATATATCCTGAAAGTTAAATTGATAGATTTCTTAAAATAAATAATATATAAAATAAATTATAAAAGAGGAATATTTAATAATGCTACCTGACATAAGATATTTTTCTCTAACAGCTCTTTCAGTTTCAAAACGTTCTGCTTTGTATCTCTAAATGTATAAAAATATAATAATAAATTGCTAAAGAAATTATTTTATAAATAACAATAATAATATTTCCTACCCCCAACTGATTCAATAATACAATGGCTGTAATAATTCCATAAATTGCAACAGCTTCACAAAAAATGATGCTCACAAGATTTTTTGTTCGAATTCTTGGTGCTTTTACTCCTCCACCTACAATACTCACACCTGTTGTATAGATGCCTCTAAATAAAACAAAAATCATTTATATTTTAATTTAGATAATACATTTTTTTAAATAAAATCTTTAAATGATTTATCAATATTAGTTAATATTAATATTAGCAAATATTTATCAACAAAAATAGTTGTATTTATTATTCTTGTACATTAAATAACAGTAATAATTTACAAATATAGTATTAATACATAATTTATAATATTAAATAACACTTCTAGCCCACAACTTTAGAATAAATTATTTAGCCTAATAAAAGGGTTATAATAAATTGGAGGGGCACACATCAGGGGCTGACTAGAATAGACAGACTAGATTTTACTAAAAATAACCTTTAGTTACCTTAATCAAATTTTAGCAGGAACAATCATAACACTAACAGCTAACCTTGGTTAATCTTTGTTTATGGTATATTCTTGTTATGATTGTATTAATGGATACTAGTGATATACTCTATGTATATGTATGTAGGCTGATGTGATAAGCCTTCCAATTTATTGCAACCCTATTTATTAGGCTGAATAATTCATTCTAAAGTACACAATTTACTTAAAACATAAAAGTTATTTGCAGAACTCAATTCCATAAGTGTGTTAATTTTAATAATTCTAAAAGCAGTAAATGTAATAATTAAATTTGTTGTTGTCTTTTTTAAATACAGTAATACCCCGACTTACGCGAACCTGGAGTTACGCGATTTTCAAATCTTGTTGATTTGTCTTTTGTTTGAGCACCACACAACTCTTGATTACTCACTCCCCCCACACTATTGTTCAGCTTACATGTTTGGATGTGTCGTGCAGAATCAACACATAGCTACAATTTATTTTGTGTTATTTATTTCTGTGTTTGTTATATCTACGGAGACTCAAGAGACTCTATGTGGTGACTTCTCATAACCGTGAACAAATCAAAAGACGAGATAAGATTAACAAGAACATTTGTTAGCTTACATACATCCGACTTGGATTTTACACAAATTGCGAAATTATACCCCGACTTACGCGAATTCGACTACGCGGTTATTGCTCGGTCCCACCTATCACGTAAGTTCAGGTTATTACTGTATAGTTTGACAAGAAGTGAAACCATAAATTTAGAATTTAATAAACTATATTTAAATTATATAAGTTTATATGCACATTTAATATATCTTAAGTACTGTACCTATATTAAATTAAAGTAAAATAATGATACATAATGCAAATACACATTTCATCATTACAATAACAAAAGATATCAAACAGGAGTTTGACTAACTTTCTCTCATCTACTGAATTTACACACAAACTAATTTGGGATTTATCTGTTACAGTAGAGTCTGTTCATATAAATCTGTCTCTTCTTAGAATGCAAGTAACTTTCTTTTACTTTTTGCTCTTTTCATCCTGTAGACACTAAGGTGGTCCACTTTTCATATTCATTGTGAATTCAGCCACACCTGTAATGGGGTTACCAAATGGTGAAAGATGGGTTCAACCTATCTGGGACAGACCACCCTTAAAAAATTACAGATGTTTTCTACCTAGATTCAATCATAGGTTCTCAGAGCAGTATGCTGATGCCTTAATGATCTTAGCAATCTGACCATAAATGACAAATGATTAACTACTCCTAGTGTCACTGAATCAAACTCTTAAATCCACAAACTGCTTCTTCAGCTTCTGACATTCTGAACACAGAGAATTACTGAATGTTACTCACTGTGTTACATCGTGGTTTTTATGTAATTTTTTTGGAAGTATACTCAATACCATATAATAAAATCTTGCTCTGTATAGTCAAAAACATTGGATTTAAACATTACTTATTATAGAAGAAACTTGTTAATTCTAAAGCTAGAACTATCTTCTAAATAGTAAAATTCACACCTTCCTCTCACTTTCCCAGCATCCACAGATTAAAAACAAATGTTTTCAGCTACCTTCAGTGGCCTGCATCAGGTTAAGCAGATTCTATTTTGAACATCTGTAGCAGTTCAGAAACCTGCTAAACCTGATGCAGGCCACTGAAGGTAGCTGAAAACGTTCGTTTTTAATCAGTGAATACTGGAAAGTTAAAAGAAAGCAAGAATTTTAATATTTATAGTAAATATGTAAGTAAAATGTTTGAAACACATTTTGACATTTTTCTGTTATTTATAAATAGTTGTGTAAGTGTCTAGGCCAGGGATGCAAATCTTTTTGCATCCAAGTACTATATAGTAAACATATTTGTCTTTCAAAATGTTTGTGTGTTCCAAAGTTTTAGACTTCAAATAATGAGATTTAAAGAAATGAAATGAATATGCTTTAATTAGAGTACATGTAAAAAAGTTGGCTGAAAAAAAGGATGACCAGTGATAAACTGAAAGAGTGACTGAAAAATACGAGCGATAAACCAAAATCACATCATACATTATTTTCCAGATGATGTCTCCAAGTGTGCAACTTTGGGAACGTGTGCCATAGATTGCCTAGACCAGGGGTGGCAAATCATCTGGAACTACTTAGATCATAGCACAAATTTGCACTAAATAGTATTGTTTTATGAAGTACCTGCTGACACAACCTCCACTTAAAATAAGACTATACTGTACTTATTGCAATATATCATTAATGCACAAAATTATATTGAAATTATTACATGTAATATTTATCTGTTTGTAATACTCAGTCTAAGTCATTTAAGCAAATTTCAATCAATCATAAAATCTTTGGAATAGTATAATAATAAATCTATTAGTTTTTATTGCATCATCATCAGAAATATGAAAAGAGTAGAAAATTTAATTCATTCTGGTAATTTGGTAAACTTTTAATTCTTTTCTAATAAAATTTGACTGAAATGATTATTAAATTCTCCAATATTGATTAATCTAGTGCAATTCACAATATCTCAATTCTTATGTAATTGTAATTTCTAAACAATAAACAGTACTTACATTAGAAATAGGATTGTTCAAATTAACCAGGCAAAATTACATTGACAAAGTTCTGCTTACATGTAAAAATCACATTTTTTAAATTTTGATTAAAATCTGAACAAAAGTATTTTATTCATTATTTTATAATTTTCAAAAACAACTGAATCATTAGACTAAAGTTTTTCTGAACTCTGCTTGTATATTATCGTATCTTTACTTTAACTGAATAAGTAATTAAGCATCTAAATTATTAAAATTTTTACGAATGCAAAAATTTCTGAAATTGACAGTTATTATGCCGAATTAAAGGAAATTGTTTTTTATATGTGACCTAGAAAAAATAATAATTAAATATTAAATTCCAGTAACAAAAGAAAAAGGTTTTGTTAATAATAATAAAATAATAGTAAAACCATTAGCGTTAATTACCAATTATAAAGTAAATATTTTCTAATGAATAAAAAAAAACACATTTAAATGAATTTACGTGTATTTCGAATTAAAATATAGTAGACAAAATACAGAAATTAATGATGTTATCGTAGTTTACGTTACTACGATAACATCATTAATTGCGATGTAAAAAGGTATGCCTAATGAAAGTTTATTGTAAAAATGTTTTGCTAAATAATAGCAACATAGGTCTGTATTTTGCGGTCGCTGATAGTATTCACATAAAAAAAACCTTATAATAACAGAAATGTAACACTGCACAAAATAAAATGCAATGAACGTCATAGAAACGAATGAATTAACTTAAAAGTTGAACTAAAGGTAACAGCTTTTCGGAAAAGATAAAATAAATTTTATTGTTTCTATGCGAATCGCACTCTATAACAATAATCAGTAACTGTTCAGTAGATAAGTATTCAGAAAAAGTATAAAATATGCAAAGTCAGAAAAATATTGCTTTTTTTCCAATAGTGAAGACAACTGAAATGACTTTACCTCATTTTGATAAAAATTTTCATGAAAAGTATTGTCAAAGAGTGAAAACGCTTTGTGTACATGAAGCAAAATTTTGTCAAACAAGTGACACAATAACAATTTTTCGTTTGACTTCAAGTAACACAGGTTTATAAAAATTTTTGTAACAAGAAAAAACTTAACACTGCAGTAAAAATAAAACACATTCGAAAACGTAACAGAAAATATTTTTGGGATCTTCGATCTAACAACTATAAAGTAATCGAGTAAAAGTCCATTACGATCTACCAAATACAGTCGATTCCCCTATAACGTACGTTTCTATAACGACNGTCAATTTTTTATTTTACATACAAGCACCAGAATGATAATTATCATAAAAACATTGAAAATATAAAAAATTTTTACAATATTGTCTTTATTTGTCAATTTTTTATTTTACGTACAAGCACCAGAATGATAATCATCATAAAAACATTGAAAACAAAAGCTATTTCGACATCTTGCACAATTTATAAAGGATGATTGTTTACACGAACAACATTTTTTTAATAGATCTGTTGGAAAACATACTTCGTTTATATTCATAAAAATTTCTCTTTTATCAGAAAGTTTGGAAGCATACCAGGCATACCGAATCATTTCATTAAAAATTGGTGATGATAGTTGATGAAGCACTATTGATTGTATTTTTATACAATCTTCACGGGAATTTATTTCTCTATTATTTTCAATTAGATAAGCGCAATTTTGTATACGCTTTATTAGATTTTTTACCTGTCTATAAAAATATAC